CTCATTTTGGTCTCAGACCCAGCACAGTCATGGTTGCAGACATGTAGGACAAGAATGCAATCTCTTACAGATGTCATCTCTCTTCCCTTCTCTCTCCTCCCCAAAGTAAATAAACACATAAATAAAACAACCTATGCTTGACATCACAGGGAAGGAAAGATGTAAGGGAAGGTGTGTAAGGGGGCACCAGAGGAGGTTCTGGAAGGAAAGAAGAGCCACTGCAAAGAGGAGAGGGGGGTAAAACACCACACCTTAATGAAAGAAAACGGGAAATAAATTGAGACAATAATTGTGTGAGGCAGGTGGATATACTAAAGTCTGGCATTGGCAGTTAAGAAAACCTAGTTTGAGGTTAATAGGGCCCTTTTGTATTTGCCAACAAGTAGCCTGAGAAAGACCAAGTTGGTGCGGTTCCTGCTGAAAGTTGACACCTGTTCTCAGAAGAGTCTGATTTGGGCCACCTGCAGTTGAATACACAGCATGTTAGGCTGTGGGATCCACATTAAAAAAAAATGGTCCCTTTCTGTAGGGCATTGCCCTCACTCACAGTCCTAATTGAGGAAGACTTCCCAGCTTGGAGGCTTCATTCCCTGTTTCCTTCCCTTCTTAGCCAACAGGAAGTAAGAAGGAGGCAGTGCGATTAAGCAGGAAGTTTCCTGAATTCAGCGAATACTGTCTTTCTACGTTCCCATCTGTCCCTTGCTTTGTTCTTGCTTTCTGGAGATGGCACTGCCTAAACCATGGGGCACTCAGGGGAGAGTGTGGGAGTCCCCTGTCTGCTAGCCTGATGAAGCAGATAAGTCATCCACTGCCGTGCAGGAGAATGAAAAAGAGGAGGAAGAAGACAGGAAGCCAGCCAGATGTGCAGACAGAGTGCCTTCAGAGGAAACAGCTGCTCTGTTTTCCAGAATACGCGACTGAACCTGAAAGAATGGTTGGAGGGATGGGGCTGGGAGTGGTTTTGCTCTCTGGCGCCCTCTGCTGTAGCTGGGCAGATGGATGCCACAAGATGGGGGCAAGAACAGAAACTGCCCACGATACTTAGAGAGGATAATTTGGTATCTGAAACACAGGTGCCTAGGACCTGGGCTGTGCAAGGTGAATACAACGTTAATGTTGGTGTTGGAGGATATGAAGGAGTCATCAGTACCACGCCATCACCTTCACTTCTGCCACTCTATCAGGAAGCCAGGATTATTCATGTCAGAACAGGGTGGGTATTGGCCTTATCCATGACCAATGATCATGTCTTGAAAGATACATGTTATAGGGAACGAAAAGAGTGACCGTGGCACAGGAAGGACAAGGCAGCATGAGGACGAGTGGCTGGAAGTCCCTCCCTTTCCCAGACGATCCATGAGAAGAAAGAGCTTAGACATTCTTCAGCAGTACATGGGTGATGCTCGGGTACATGAAAGGACTAACATGGTGTTCTGGAAAGAGCAGGATCCTGGAGCACAGAGGAATGGGACAAGGACATGCAACGCTGGGGGGAAAAACAAACCATGGTGATCGCAACGATCAAAAGTTGGAAACCAACCTAGACCTTTAGAATTTTCCTGAAGTAACCACAACAGCTGGGACATCTAAGCTGCGGCCCGTGTCTGTACGGGAAGAACACTTCTCAGAGACAGCACAGACACAAACATGAGCATGACCCTCACAGTTGAGCCTCATTACATGACTGGAACTCACATCAAGATAAGGTCGAGCGACATTTTAAAATTATTAGAATAAATATTAAAATACTCCCTGCACCAAACAGAGAGAGCAAGAGAGAGAAAATCATACAAAGGAATATCAATCATGCTGATCGCAGAGGCTTTTCCTCTGAAACTCCGGAAAAGCACGGATTAATCGCCATAGCCACGGTGTTTGGTAAAGAAGGATGATGACCTGAGAATGGCTGATCCAGCCAAGTCTTCAACATCCAAGCAACGTCAGGGGATGCTTATGCTCAGAGAATATACTCCTCCAAGACCCCATGTCCTCAGTCAAACAACAGGAAAAAGATCCACATGCCAAGCAGGCAGGTTGACGGGGAAGTTTGTGCCCACCCTACACCTAAGGACAGGGAGAAGCAGGCAGGGCAAAAGTGAACTACAGTAAGTTGCATGAGACATCTCAACCAATCCCACAGGGACAGCAGGAGCTGAGGTGGCCCCTTGAATCGGCCCTAGTACAGGCCTGATGGGGTTCACACCCCTGCAGTCAAGTGGCACCTAGTGTGGGCTGACCCAGGCAAAGGAGTGAGCTTGACGCTGGCAGCTCCCTTCCACTGAAGGAAATTCAAAGGGAACTCCGCTATGACCCTCAGCAGGTGGGCAGTGTGTACCTGGGACCTGAAGGATCTTTGGTGGTCTCTTTATTATTAATTCTTTTTTCCCCCTAAATTTGAAGGCAGACTTTGGCCAACAAAGGAATAAGTATGATAATCTAAAAAAGACTGAAGCATTTTCCTTTTTTTAATGATTCATTTATTATTTTATTTGAAAAGCACATTTTATATAGAGAGAAAGTTCTTCCATTGCTGGTTTATTCCCCAAGTGGCCTTTACAGCCAGAGCTTAGTTCATCTGGAACCAGGGACTTCTTCTAGGTCTCCCACATGGTTGCCAAGGCCCAAAGACTTGACCCATCCTCTGCTGCTTCTGTAGGCCATAAGCAGGGAACTGGATTAGAAATGAAGCAGCCAAGACATAAATAGGTACCCTTAGGGAATACCAGTGCCACAGGCAGAGGATTTGCCTGATAGGCCACCACATTGGGCCCTAGTTTTTTAATTCATTAAAAAAATTGGAAAGGTAGAGCAACAGAGGAAGAGGCAAGAAGGGAGACATAGAGAGACAGAGAGAGATATTCTGGCTCTCTCTAGCTGCACTAAGTAGGAATGGTTCAGGCTGGAGTCAGAAGCCCAGAACTCCATCCAGATATCCCATGTCTATGGCTGCAGTCCAAGTGTTTGGGGCATCTTCTGCTGAGTTCCCAGGTACATTAAAAGGAAGCTGGATTGAAAATGGAGCAACAAGAACTCAAAGTGGTGCCCTTATGGGATGCCAGCACACTGTGCCACATGCTTGCCCTCTCATTCCTGCCCCAATTCATTTTTAATCCCAAACTCTGCTTGGTTATACATGAGTACTGGACAACAAGTAACATTTAGAAGTAAGCTTATTTTGAAATGAACTTGTAAAATCCATGCAAACAAGGCAGTATTCAAAGAGTTCATGGAAAGGCCTGTGAGGAAAACATCATGCGTGGACGTAAAACCCTTTTGCATCAAAATGAGTTTATCATATAATTCCATTTTCTCTACAGTCTTCTTGATATACCCTTCCTATGTTTCATAGTACCCAAAGCACATGGCATTATTTGCTTTGTTTTTTTTTTAATTTTAGTTATTTTGTTTGAGATTAGAAGAGTAGACAGAAATCTTTAGTTAGCTGGTTTACTCCCCCAGATGCATCCAATCTTGGTCTCCCAAGTGGAAGTTGGGATTCAGGTACTTGAACCACTACCTTCTGCTGCCCACAGTATGAATTAGCAGGAAGCTGGAATCCAAAGTGCAGCCAGGGCTAGAAGCCAGATACTGAACCGTGTCTTAATCACTGTGCCCAAAACCCTTTCGTCTCTTTTCATTTTTTGTTTTTTTTTAAAGACTGCATTCACCAACTCTTCCCCAAGGTTCACAGAGCTTCTTAGGGAAATTCTCCTTACTTAGTCTGAGCCCATCTTGCTGCTATGGCTATCACAGATGGTCAGCCAACTCCTCTGGTGTAAGACCCTGCTTACACTTCCACTCAGGCATTACATTGGTCTCTATTCAATCCGACCTGCAAGGAACTGGGGTACGGTCCTGGATGGAGTGATTGGGCAGCTCCCATGCAGCAGATGGGGTTGAAGCGTGTGAGTGGTAATGACAAACGGTGTTTGTTTCTAACCACACACGTAAATCTCTTTACCATAGAGCACTGGGCAGCTACTACCCAAGGATGACATTAGCCTTGCAAGATGTAACCTTTTCCCCAGCTTGGGTCTGCCACTTGCTTGCAGGAAAGGATCAGCTTTATACAACCTGCACCCTCACCCTCTGCTTGTACTTTGCCCTACTTTGTATTTCTCTGTAGTGCAGATCGCCATCCAAAATTGTCTACACATGTTACCTTATCATCTGTTTCTCCCTACAAGAGTAAACTCCACAAGGCAGGGATTGCTTCTCTTTTTCCTTTTATGGTATCTCTAGTCTGGAAACAATACACAGTACACAATAGCAGCTGAAGAAATAGTCATAGGAGGGGAAGGAAGGAAGGCAAGAGAAGGGGATTGGGAATGGGAGAGGCAAGAGACAAGGCCCGAAAGACACGAGATACATTTTTATAAAGACAGTTCCATTTGTTTTATTACTTAAATCTGACCTGCATAAAATGATGGTTAACTGCATTTAGCTCCGAGCATCCTTGTGACATGAATCCATGGGGCCAAAACCAGGCTGGAACTTTGCTCTCTTCACTATTGGGTCCAGGGGCTACAGGTCAGCTCTATCAATTGATCTGCTGTGACAGCCCCAAGTGCCAGTGAATCAGAGAAATTTTTTCATGATTGACAATGGGCAAGGGGTGATCACTTACTGATGGGGGCGAGAAAGGGGCCCTTACTGCCCTTCCCTTGTAGTCTGCAGCCATCTTCAGTGACGTGATGTTGACATGGAAGAGGTCAACTCAGGGAACATGGGAAAGCGCCTGGTGCCTGGGAATGCCTGGGTGGAGACTCCAGTGGCCCTAACCTCTCCAAACAGGACCTACAACAAACTGAAACTCAAAATTTCTAAGCAGCATCAATTTTCTTTCTTGCACTCTCTTCATCTCTCTCCCTTTCTGATTCACATGCATTCCAAGACACCCTCAAACCCAGTCCAGACAGCACACTGGCATGGGTGTGCAGACATGGCACATATGTGCCTCTAGCCACTGCAGCATCCTCTTGTGCAGGGGGCCGGGCTGCTCACACGTTGGTGTGTTGGGAACCAGATGAGGCTCTGCTGCTCAGATGGCTTCGGCCCGAGGGTGCTGAGCTGGCTGCTTGGCTCCTTCTGCTCTGGTTCACACCTCCAGGGCTCCACTGGGCTGGATCATCAGTCACCTTGAGCTTGCCATGCTCCTCTTTCAGGAAGAACTCCACCAGTAAGCTCTTCTCCTTCTTGATCTGGTCACTGATGTCAGTGGGGATGTCTGGTATCATCCAGTCAACAAGGACACTCAGGAACATCACAAGGTTCTGCCAAAAGCCAGGGCAGAAGAACAGTTGAGCAGACAGCCCTGGTTCACGATGTAGTGTTTAGGGACACAGGAGGACAGTGTCATGCCATCAACCCTTGCCTGGCCACAGTGACTGTCTCCACAGCTTGCCATGGGTGTGGTGCCTTGGGGCAGGACGTCTCCATGTTAGTTGGGGATCTCAATCACTGTGCGCCACTGTGCCCCACTGTACCTCGGCATCCTGGTTTGCAAAGTGGAGGATTAATGGAACCTTCCCCAAGAACTGTGGTAGGGATGAGGGAGATACTACATGGCTGAGCTCCTGTCCTTCCAAGGAACTAGAGAGCCCACACCCCATCTCCATGCTCAGGCTGTCTTCACAGGTCTCACTCTCGCTTGCTGGGGTTTGAAGCTTCCAGGGCCTCCTGGTGATTCTTACTATGCCAGCTGTTCCTCTCTTCCCTCTTGGACATCTGTACCACAGAGGGGAGTCTGGTCATTGCCCTGGTGTCTGCCAACTCTACTTGCTACTCACATTCGCCTTCACAGACACCCTGCTGATGCCTGGGTGTGCTCTCTCCGATCCCAAACTATGTGCCTGGTGGCAACAGGCTTCCTTCCCCTGGCCACTCGGTTTCATTCCTTCTCTTGTATACACCTTCCTTCTCCTGGGAGCATTCTCTGAGTGCCTGGTATGGCCCAGCAGTTCACCCCTGCTGTATGCAATGGTGACATTCTCTCTCGGGCTGCTCATCTGTCTTCTTCCCGCTGAGATCCTGGGCCAGAGAAGACTTGGGGAACCAACTGCTGCTTCCCGAGGCTCCTGGGCGACTTGGTGCCTGGGAAGTGCTTTCTCAGGCATTATTCTCTTCCTCTCAAGCAGCTCTCATGGCGCAGATGATATGGTACACGTGGGGAAGACCGTGGGGCTCTTGCAGGGGGACATCTAAGTGATCTTTCAAATGTATCAGCCCATCTCCACAGAGGAGGAATAAGTGATTCTGGGAGAAATTCTAGCTGAAGGGCTTCTCTACTTCCTGGGCTGAGGGACCAGGGGGCAGGATACTTAAGAGGTCTCCAGAGAACTGCCAGCAGAGAATACAAAAGCAGGAGGGAGCCAGAGAGAAAAGGATCCTGGCTTGTACACAGACCTTGCTTGAAGACTGGCAGGACCCCGAGTGGGAACTGAGGGCCCAGGAGTTCAGAGAATCTCCTCGATGCAACTGGAGATGTAGCTATTGTTCTGAGATAGGAATCTCTAGGGCTCAAGTTTGCTATTCATCTGGGGGATAGCGAGATGGCTCCAGGGACGCTTCCCACCAGATGTCTCAGGGGCCAAGACCGCAGTCACAAAGGAAGGAGCCAGGACCCACAAGAAGAAAAGGTTCAGAACTTGAACCCGTGGGGGCTGCAGAGGTTGAGATGGGCTGGCTGTGTGAATGAAGCGGGAGACTCCAGTTTCACCTGCTCTTCCCACTTTCCTTTCTTTGTCTGAGATTGAAGGGGAATCCGGCCTCACCCTGCAACTTACTCCACATCTATCCTGTAATCTTATTCTTGGTTTTCATTCTCCTTCTGCAAAGTCCACCCATGAAAGGAAGTTCTCATTGTAAGTCCCCCTTCCCTGCCCAGCGACGAGAACATTGACTCTGCAGTCACCTAAGGGAGAGCCAGCTGTCCTTCCCACAGTCATGGATCCAACTAGCCATGCTGTAAAATATCTGAAATTTCACTGTACTGAACATGCAATCTTTTCATTGTCGTCATTATTCTTCAACAAACACAGTCTAACAATCAGTGACACTGCATCTATATTATATTCAATATTATGGATCATCTAGAGATGAAAGTATACAGGAGGATTGTGCAGGCTACATGTAAAGGCTGCAGCATTTTACAGAGGGGATTTAGGAGACCACAGATTTTGGAATTGGTGGGGGGTGTCTTAGAACCAATGTCTCGTAGATACCAAGGGACAACTCTAGAGTCACAAGACTTTACCCATGCAGCCTGAACTTTAATATTTTAATAGCCAATTCTTAAGTGAATTTACCTGGAAGATGATGACAAAAGCCAGACGGGCAGAGAGAACAGACCAGTACTGTCTGGAGAACTCATATGCATTCGGGGCCCACGGTGGCTCTCGGTAATCCTTAAACCTGTCCCAAGAGAAATGTTGGTGTTGAGATGGGGGAGAGACAGAGAAAAAGATGGTACTTCTCTGGGTTACCTAGGGCTCAGAGCAGCAGGCATGCCCTTGGCCTCAGACTGGGGAAATGTGAGACAGACAGAGGAAATCCGCAGCCCAGACAACTCATGTCTGTGGAATAAAAGGACCCAAGTCCAAAATAAGCCAATGCCAACATAGACTCCTTCTCTAGCATCTCCCAAATCTGTCCCTGGCATCAGGATTCTGCTTCCCCAGAGAGGTCAAGGCTAACATGGGCAAGTGGGTCCATCTGGGTTGAGAGGGCTAGGGAGACCTGGAGATGCCTGGTATGCTGCTCTGTGGCCTGTGAGCTCAGTGAAGATGCAGGTCCCAGCACGGAATCCTGGGCTTCTTCCTAGCTATGAGCGCCAGAAGAACTGGCCTTGGCTTATGACAACAGCTGCCATCTTGAACCAAAAGAAACTCAAGGTTGGATGCTCATAGGATGGGAGGGTTGACACTTGTCATAGTTGATTAGGACTCTGCTTAACCAACAACCATCTGTACAACCTGCACAAGTGGCTTAATCAATACTTGATTAAGACTGTGTGTCCTAAGTCCCGGTCTCATAAGTTATCCCTTACTCCTTCCTTATCCCCCATCCTGGGATGGTTCATGCTGACACTAGCTTGTTTTGTATCCACATTTTTTTTTCTGAGTCTGAAAAAAATGACAAGAGCTAGTGTCAGAACTACAGCCCTTGATGGAACTATTTTCTCTGTGGAATGCAGCAAGTTCTGCAAGGCTTGGTGCCATCCAAACCCAGGGCTGGAGGAAGAGGTATCAGGGCCACCACGCAATGAGTGTGTGGCTGCTGAGGAAGGCAGGGCAAAGAGAGGCTGGGAAGGCAACAATCAGATGCCAAATGCTCAAGATTGTGCCTATCCCCGCGTCAAGGGCTTTTACCTTTTTCCACAGCAGTGCTGGGCAGGCACTATGACCCCCTATACAGCCCAGGAGGAACCTGCAGTTTAGAGAAGTTCAACTTTCTGGCCAGGGAGAGTTGATACCCAGGTAAGAACATGCATCTGACTAGATTCAGACTTCTCTCAGTGGTCCCAGAGCAAGCACCTCCCCAACAGCTGCAGTTGGGATGGGAGGGATTTATAAACAGGAGATCTTTGGTCCTCTCCCCTGAGCTGAAACAACCAGCTGCTTTGAAAGATCTGCGTAAAATCACAAATCCAAGAAGCCATGAGAGAAGAAGGGAAACAGAAACCAAGAGGAAAAGAGAGTTCACATACAAAGGTAGAAAAAGGCACAGCGAGTCGGTCAGAGAGACAAACAGAGAGGTGGATGCTGAGCCTCCAGTGAGGGCTTGGCAAGAGGCCAGGAGCTGCCCCTTTCCCACTAGGATCCCTGACTCCCCAACCCCCACGCAGCCCAGCCCTCTTCCAACAGCTGATCACAGCTGTCACAAGCTGGGTTTGACACTGGATGAAAAGCAAAGCTGACTGCAACCCATCGGAGCACCACGGGATTCATCAACATGGCTGTAGACAGAAACTCGGCCAGCTCCAGACAGTCCTAGCTCATGGGAGAAGGGGAGACTGTAGACAAATGGATAAGGACACCTTAGGGGTGGGAAACGACCAAACCCACTTACCTTCCTGTAGCCCCCGGAAAGAATCCCATGGCAGACAGCAAATTAGCCTACTCCTCCAGAGAAGGAGTGCTACCCAAGTGCAGGCATGCACGTGCACACACACACACACATGATCAGGCCAGTCTGTCCTGCAGCCAGTCTGTCCTGCAGCCGTGAATATACACTTCTCTTGCTGTCTAGCTCCATCTATAAAGAAACAGCTGCTCGCTGACCTTGGTCTAAGAGCCACTGCTCGCCCTACTTGTTTCCAGTCTGAAAAGAATCCATAAATAATCTAATTCTGGTTCCACCTCTGCGCCTCACTCCCCCAGCTTTTGGAAATGCCACTTTGCTCTCCCCGAGTGTCCAGAACATGTTTTGAATCTAACAGGCACATCCATCTAAGCGAGTATCTGGAGACAGATGAACACACATATCTGTCCAGAGAGCTCGACTTGAAAATACCTCCACGCAGATGTGTCAGGAACTCGGAAGCAAGCCACGCCACAGACAAGAACAATGAACAAGTTAATGAATTGTGCATCTGTTCCCATTTCTCTTTCCAAAACTAGTTTTGCGAAAATGACGGCTGACAGGAGCAAACGGGGGAAAGTACTTCTTTGACAAGTTTTAGAAAAGACGGAAAGATAATACTTATTATCCACGATACTTTCTGAATACTTTTGTTTCACGCTGGTGCACACACACACACACAAATGTAGCTGCTGAAGAAAACAATTACACATCCCCACAGTGCGTCATGCACTGAATTTTTTTTTCATTCTGTTCTATTCTTTCCTCTCCTAATCTAGCCTTTCAAATGCTGATCATAATTCACTTAAGTGATTTCATGAGCTACTAATGAGGCACAATTCAGAATTTGCCAAGCCTGATTCCAGCAAACCTCTGCCATAGGTCAATGACTGGCTGTTTACATTTCAACGTAAGTTCGGATTTCATAACTTTTTGGAAAAAAAATTCTTCCTAGATCAGGCTTATCAAATGTTTTCATTAAGCAACCAGAAGACATTAACTAAACAAAGAGATAATTAGGTTGAAGAGTGAAAATGTTCACAGAAGACAGTGGTTAATGGACTTTATTGCTTCCGCCACTGTGATAATGGTCTGTGGTGTTTGTTTTGTCTCTGAGCTGCAGAAGTTTTACGTCCTGAGGTTGGCCAAGACTGAACACCACCTCCCGCAACTTCATACTCTGTCCATGTCCAAGTCATCCTCTCGTCCTGATGCTCCAGGTACTCTTCTCCAAGACGAGCCCAAACCTTCCAGGTCAGAGACGTCAGGAAAATGAAGTGTCCCTGTGAGAGGCTCAGCACAGTACGCTGCTGCCCTTCTCTCTGTGTGCTGAAGGCAACTGGGGAACACACCCCTCGGGCCTGAGAGGACAGAGCCCCCCGATGGCTACTCCCCATTTCTCCTATGCTCCCACCATGTGCTGAGGCAGATACAAAAGAATCAGCCGCTGCAAGGGGCTTTGCTTGGGTGTCCAGGTCAATGGCATGACACGGGCAACCCTCGGGCCAGGAGCAGGAGGCCCCTGGAAAGAGGGAATTTCAGTTCCATTCCTGTCAAAGTCAAATGCCCTCCAAGCCCACACCTATTCCCCTGACTTGAGGGGCTTTGGTCTTTCTAAACTGCAATGCTGGGTGAACCCCTTCATCTGGCCAACTCCTGACTACTGATGGTGATTCCCAAGGGGAAGCAAGGATTTGGTTTGTGGGAGGATAGCTTCACCGACATTCCCAGATGCTGCCCTCCTGTCCTTCCAACCCTCCTTGACTTGATGGCAGTCTCCCCCTGAGCCTACTAATAATCACAGATGTTCAATAATGAAACAGGCAAGAGTGTGTACAAACTAACTCTGCATGTGGAGCAGTGATGCCTATAATGAAGACTGAGTGGCTCCCATATCTGACTGTCCACTTTGCAGTCCACAGCATGGACCTGGCAGCATGTGTGGTCCGGGGCTGAGGGCACGGAAGGCATGCACATGCACTCTCTACACCTCAATGATGTGCAAGAATGCATGGTGTGCACGCTTAACCACAGAGGAAACCAGCCGCAAGACAAGACATGTGAAATGTAATTTCTGGAAGCTTCTTCAGAACACAGACACAATTGCTTCCCACGGAGAAAGTAACTGAGTGAAGGATGAGAAAGGAGCACTCTCTTTTCTGTTCGTTTTCTTTTTCTTATACACGCATATGAACTGCTTTCCTAATAAATAAGATCACAGTCTCAAAAGAAGAATGTGATGGATAGCAACATCCAGTGCTTCTACTCCAGGTTGGCAGGGAGAGAGGATGATGATAGTGTGAAATGGCATAGATTTTCACAATAAGTCAAACTGGCACACACACAAACGCACACACAAATCAACTCTTTGTGCTAGCTTTAAAATTGCATGACTATGTTCCCTGTGAGGTTCTAACAGAAGCCCCTTTTCGTGGCTGTTTTCTTTGAATCCATCTCTTTCTGGTGAAAAGCCAAATTGCCTGAATTCAGTGTATGTGTGACTTAAAAAATAAGATCCCATGCACTCCAACTATTGTCAAACCAACCCTTGAGACAATAACGTGAGGGGCCACACATTCAAGTGATGTTTATGCAGATAGACTCCCTGGGGAATGGTCACCATTGGGCACTGCCCTGGTTCCTGCAGGTAAGATGGCAAGGACTGGACAAGGCTTAGTGCTGGAATGGTTACTGCTGGCTCTAGACAAATCAATATACTATAAGTGTCATTCTGTAGCAACTATTAAAAAAACAAGAAAGACTCCTCAGAAGTTCTTTATTGCAAAGCCCCATTTTTCCCCGATGTGAAAACCTGGAGGCAGACATGGAGGAGAGGCTCTTGGCTTAGATTCCTCCCCACCCTTCCTCCATTCTCACCTGCAGGGTAACTGACATTGGTCACACTGCGTCATGGCACAGAACCCCTGTGTGTGCTGGCCATCCACTGTCAGATGGATGGTTTTATAGCTTACAGAGGTTTTATTTCTCTGCAATTCATGAGTACATGCATCCCTCAATCCCAAACAGTGGCATGTAAACATTTTGAAATAGCCCCAAAGGAAACAAATGTCATATTAATGTCGAACATAATTACAATTTTTTAAGATTATTATGCCATCTGAGCAAGCGATGTTTAAGACTGCCTTCTGAGATTGGCCTTCAGCGAAGGGAAAACAAAAATGTCCAGGCAATTAAAAACTAACAAGAACCATGTTCATCTAGAAGTCGATAAATGTCAGGAAAGGCAACACCCGGAAAAGCTGACTCCACCTCTGCTTTCAGCCGGAGCATATGCAAGGCGACCATGGACTGGGAGGGAGTTCACCTCTGCACCAACTTGACATGGGGCCTCAGAGTATGGAAGCAATTAGGCCCTGCACCAAATCCTTGCCAGAGTCTCCCAAGGATACTGCTTCTGGATGCTCAACACCCCTCAAACAGAGCCACTGGTTTGACCATGACCCCTGGTCAGGCCCTGCTCCCCTCCTGCCTAGCCAAGGGCCAAGGCACCCTGCATCCTCCAGGACATGGTGACCCCTTGACCCCATGTTCAACGGTGACTAATCGTGCCAGCAGACTGCCGTCACAGGACTGTGTGTACAGCAGCCCTGCCGAGGCAAGCGCCACTGCAAAAATGCTGGGAATGCATCTCAAACTCTCCAACAGGCAGCAGAAACTTGTCCTAACTTCTCCTGCTATTTTTAAGACACCTCCATTCCAGGCGAGGCGGGAGTTGGAGCCCGAGAAATCAGTTTTATTTGACCACATTTATCTCCAGAGGTCACTGAAAGCTAAGAATATGAAGGGTCATTGAGTTCCCAACACTATTTGCCAGAATATCAGGGAACACTGCATTTCCCACCATGGAAGCAGGAACACGCTGGCCCAGGGACTGGGTGTAGAGCTGCCCTGGTTCTCACAGTAGTGGTCCAGCACAGTCATATCTCCATACTGACTCTGTCTGTCTGTCTCTCTCTCTCTTTCTCTCTCTCTCTTACACACACACATACACACCACACACACACCACACATACACTCGGTTGTGCCCCTACGTGCTAAGTCTCCAGAGCAGGTTTATGCAGTGTGCAGAGGTACCACTTTCCTGAGCTAGTGATTCCCATTAGTATTTCCTACTCACCTGGGAAAGGTAGCCCATGAAATACACCTTTCTGAATCCTTTGTTGACCTCGCTCTCTAGACACCTGCGCTCAATGGCGAGGCATCTCTCCCTCAGTATAAGCCCACAGTCCTCATGCTGTGAAGTCAATGATCACCCCTATGCAAAGAGTTTTCTGAAAGCCCCTGATGATTTCCCATGATGATTTCTGAAGCTCTACACATCTTAATCTGACCCACTGGTGCTTGTTGACTGGCTTTCCTTTTTCCCTCCAGCCTTCCCTTGCGTAACTCACCATCTCAGTCGAGCCCTGTGCCCTAGAACACAGTGTCCTTCTTTGAGACTTTCAGAGGGGTGAATGGAGGAGTCATTGGAGTTAAGAAACAGAAAACCCTTTCCTGTTGTCCAAGGAAGGAGGGACAAATTAAGAGAAGCAGAACAAGAGGGGGGAAGTTCGCTTTTTAACCCTTTTGTATCCTAGTTAGATGATAATCCCTACAAAGGGATTAACCTGGCTTAAAACAAAACAAAAGAAGTATGTTCACAAGTGCTACTGGGAGATTATCCTGTCAGGACCAAGATCAGGGATCCTGTAGTGTCTGTGACAGACCAACTTAAGCAACCAGTGTTGGCCTCACTTCTGTTCACAAATCACTCTAGAGTTGGTCCCCACTGTATTTGGAAGGGAAAGGTCCATGGATAGGCTTTTTTTAAAAAATTCATTTTAAAGGATATGTTCCTAAAAATCTCTGCAGTTGTAGAGATTCTTAGCTACTTAGCTTTCTAAGCCTAAGCCTGATTTTCCTTCTATGTAAAGTGAACATTTGCAAGGAGATTTCTTCGACCCCTTTGAGTTATAAACATGAATTTTGTAATTTTCACCTTCGGATGCCTGTTTGTACCATGGAAATTCTTTGACCAAATCATGGATTCTAAAAGAGCAGGCCTAGATGATACATGAAAAGATTTAGAGTGGCACAGACCCCATGTATCCACTGGCCAGACCCCCAGCACCCGGGACAGACAGTCCAGTATGCCAGCCAGCCAAAAGAATGAACTTGGGTATTGCAGAGTCTAGTTGCAATTCTGCCTGCTGCCTGCCTTCAGTCCATGAGTCAGACTCTTTACAGCCCCAGAGCTGAATAAAACCTAAAAAAAAAAAATCAAGACTCCCATGAATACATTTATTTCTCCACCCTTGGGTCTGAACCCTGATTTTTATTTACTTCTTGACTGGTGGGAATTGCTTCCAGGTCCACAATATCCTTTCACGGTTATTAAAACCATGAATTATTCTGGTCATTTTATTCAGCTGCTTGGATTGGGAAGAACTTGGATCTGAACGTGAGTAGTCATCTTAGGATGGCAACTTTGGGCACTGTTTCCAGATGCCAACTGGAGATGAGCTCAGGGTCATCGTGGCTGTGAACGGACTTCACTGGAAGCACTGGGAGCGCTCAGACATCATGCAGCAAGGTCTACAAACATTTATGTCAACCTCACAATGTTTTCCTGCGTTTTTATTGTTGTTGTAATTATTTTGTTGTTTTAACCATAGGAGAGGCAATCTCTGGTCAAGTCCCTTTGTAGGGATTCTCATTTAACTAGGATACAAAAGGGTTAAAAAGTGAATTTCCTCCCTCTTGAGTTCGCCTAAATCTAACGACCAGGTCAGCTTTCCTAAGCCTGCTCTGCACCCTCTCATTCCTTAACACCCCAAAAAGCCAATATCTGCACCCTCTCGTTCATTAACACCCCAAAAAGCCAATATCCTCCCAATGCATCATATTTAAATCCCTATCACTAGGTCTGGTGTTGTGGCACATCATGTTAAGCCACCACCTGCAACACTGGCATTGCTTATTGAAGGACCAGTTCAAGTTCCACTGCTTCGTTCTGGATCCAGCTCCCTGATAATACACCTGAGAAAGCAGTAAAAAAAATGTTGAAACACTGGACTCCTACCACCTGTGTCAGAGATCCACATGATGTTTTGGGCACCTTGCTTCGACCTAGTCAAGATCCAGCGTTGCAGCTACTTGGTAAGTGAAACAGCAGATGGAAGATGTCTTTTTGCTCTGTATTGCTCTCTCTTTCTCTCTCTCTCTCTCCTTCTGTGTGTGTGTGACTCTACTTTTCAAATAAATTTCAAAAAGCCTTTAAAAATTCCTATAGATATCAGAATTTCCCATTATGTACTTCAATCTGTGTAAATTCAAATATGTTTGGTCTTACATTCTTCCAAGAAGTGATACATATATAAGGTGTTTTTAAAAAGACTGTGGAGTATGTCTTTAATAATTTTAAAAGATTTATGTATTTGTATTGGAAAGTCAGATTTACAGAGAGAAGGAGAGACAGAGAGAAAGATTTTCTGTCCACATTTGGCCGCAACAGCTAGGGATGAGCTGATCCAAAGTCAGGAGCTTTTTCTGGGTCTCCTGCATGGTGCAGGGTCCCAAGAGCTTGAGTCCTTCTAGACTGCTTTTCCAGGCCACAAGCAGAGAGTAGGATGGAAAATAGAGCAGCCGGGACATGAACTGGCAGCCATATGGGATGCCAGCACATGCAAGGCAAGGATTTGAGCCACTAGGTTACCGTTCTAGGCCTGCAGAACATGTTTTTGAAGCATAAACTTATTTTGGTGAGAAACTCCCAGAAATGTTACACATCTCCCAGAAGCTCCTCCAGGAAGCCTACCTTGCCATTCTGGTTCCCAGTCTCTCTGTATATATTCCATATTTCACTGTCTGATCCCATGGGTCGGTTTCTTTCTTTTTCAATTGCATCACAAACTATTTGATAGTGAAGACTGTGCTACATGATTTTTTGTGCTTCATAACAATACATATGTGTTGATTGACTAAAAACTATTCAATCTTGGGAGTGGGACAGGAGACAGGGAGCAACGAGAATGGCATCTTTCAAAACCATCCAGAAAATTACTTGCCTCTATGACTTCTCATGACTTTACCTGCAGAACTGAACCTCTTGGTCAAACTGTGAGTTTTCTGGTTGTGTTCCTTCCTTCAGCTGGCTGACGTTGAAAAAGGAGAGGGTGTGATTGACGAAGCCATGCAGGGTCCCATTGTGACTATAGGAGTACTGGTACACCAGGCGAGGAATAAAGTCGGATGTGACAGCAATGACGAAAGCCTGAGCGGGTGGAACCACAAACACAGAGGATTGATCGGGATGGACACAGTCCAGATGACGCAGAGTCAATCCAACTGAGTGCCTATCCACGTGTAAGCTGTCCGTTCAGAGCTGCTGCCCTGATTCACACACAAGCACATGCAGCACACACAGGGTCTTGTCTGACTCCCTGAGGCTGGCTTGCCTAGCTTTCCCAGCCTTGATATATGGTAACAAATCCACCAGAGAGTAGCTGTGAGTATGAATGATGTTTGCAGCAGCTGAGGATGCTAAGCTGGCTTGGGTCATTTGGGGCTGTCAATTGAATCCACCTCTAAGACATTTGAATTAGCATTAGTATTGGCCATGCCAAAATAGAGCACTGGATTAAATGGGCAGAGACATGTAGCATCTGCCCTTGCAATGGTATAAGAAAGCCAGGAATACCAAAAACATGATTGCATGGTAAGCTCAATTTGACCATTCTCTTGCAACACTTTTTAAGACACTGTGTAACAGAATTTTTTTTTTTCATCTATTGTACTTAGGAAAAGTAGGGCCTGGAGGGGGAAAGGGGTGGGTCCTTAGATGAAGCAACACATATCCCTCACAGCATCTGGCTTGTCTAAGTGCTCTATTAGTGTCCACAGAGCAAGCCACACCGCAACTGAATGAACGTGTTTAAGCAGGAGGTGCTTTCCGCAAGGAAAATCCTCCATCTTGTTGGCAGGTGTTTATACTGTATTCTGCACCAACAATTAAAGCCCTTTAAAAAACAGTTTGGAGATTGTTTTCTGAATGTATACAGGACTGTGGATGGCCTTAACTATACATGAGAATGAAAAACACACTTAGTTATCACAGCTACAATTTGTCGTGCACTTGTTTTCTATCTGTTTGTCAGCCTGTTTAAGTTCCAGAATGAAAGCTTTGAGCACAATGGCTACCTCCCATTTTATAGATAAGTAAACAAACCTTGGAGTAGCCAGGGAGGTAAGACTTCATGTCATTCTTTTCTCTAGAGGGAAAGCAGTTCCTCCCCAGGGTCTCTTTGTTAGCAGACACAATCACTGCTCTGTCTTCCAAACTGCACATTGTTTCTAAGAGTCAAGATATGCATTTCCTACTTGAAACAGTCACAGAGCAGCCGGCTGATTTGCTCTGCCTCTCCCGCTCCTTCTCTGTGTGTTCTCAGTGGCGAATTAAAGCCAAAGCCGGAATCCATGTTTCTCTCGCAAGGGAAGGTGGATGATGGCTGTGTGTGCTGAACTGGCTGTAGCTTCTTGGGAGATGGAACAGGAGGGTCTGCCTGGCTGTGATCCATCCAGAATGCAAAAGACTGCTGTTGGCTAGGACCCAACGGGATTTCCTCTGCCACGTGGACATGAGTGGCAAGGCAGTTAAGAGGTCACAACAGGTAGGCCCCTTCTGCTTCTGTGTCCTATATTAACCTTCACAGTGTCCGGGTCCTTGGGATAATTAAGACTTTGTATTGACAATCCAAAGGAGCCGTAATTAGGAATCACAGCCTGGCAATGTTCCAGGTATTGTTTAAGTCAGGAGTAGAAGCAGAAAGGAAAGAGATGGATAGATACATAAAATTCTTTCCTCATTATTCTTGGCTCTAAGGAAAGATCTGATTTTCTTAAGGCCAAGGTATGCAATCTGATGGATAATTATCTTCCTTTTCCTTGATGAAATTAAAAATAAAATTGCACAGCTCTGGTGACAGCCTGCTCAGTTACCAGGCATGTGGGTGCTATGAACCAGAGGGCTGTCTCGAGTCAAGTTCCAAAGGGAAAAGGGTGGGAGAGAACCAGAGTTGGCTCTCTGCTTCTCTAGAAGCCTCCCCACTAAGCACTGGGATACAGTGTGAGCACTTACGTTGATGATAACAGAGAACTTGCCGATTCCAGAAAGAATGTCAAACCAAATTCCTGTAAGACAGAAAGCAGAGCGTCTGACTTGCTTCCACACTCGGTCCAGTGTGACAGTGCTGCAACTCAGGGTGATGCTCAGCAGGTAAGTTATGAGGCACCTAGGATGGGCACAGGTGCCTGCCCACCACATGGAAGCCCAATGGAACAAGTACGGTACATAATAGGGCCTCAGTAGACCCAGGCACATGAGGACAGGCAACTCATAGGAGAAAAGAAGCATGTGTTTGCCCCTGCCCTTTTGATACCCTTGAAGGTGGTAGGAGGAGGTTGAGTGCAAGATGAATGGATGGAAGGGCACGGAGCTGCCATGGTCCCTTAATGGGGCACATACCAATATCTTTGGTTCTCACAGCATCTGGTCGTCTCAGCTCTGTCACAAACTTCTTTGCATCAAGTCGTACTTCGATGACATTGTTGAGAAGGGCAAAAACAGGTGCCAGAGGAAAGGAGGCCACAAAGAGGGTGACGAAACCAAACTGGATGACTAGGAGAGAGGAGAGCATGAGAGATTTCAGTGGGGAGAAGTGGAAGTTAAATACAATCTGCTTCATAGCTCCAGCTGCGGTCCTTCCACATTGAGATCTCTTGAGCTCTTTTCTCCTCCTGCACCACATGAACGCATACATATTTCTCCCTCAGTACCTGTAGGCCTACTGACCAATGCCATTACTTGGCAACAGCGTGTAGGCATGTTAAGGAGAAATGGAAAAAGGGAAAAAAAATCTTGCCTCTTTCCATTAGCATTTACCTCTAGGCATTAACCCTATTTATCTCACTCAGAGGCTGGCAAACTTTTGTAGTGAATGGCCAAACAGTCAATGTTTTGGGATTTTCAGGCCATATGGTCTTGTCACAACAACTCACCTCTGCCATTGCAGAGTGAAAGCAGCTGTGGGCAACACATAAACACAAGGCCTTGGCTGCGTCCCAATAAAACTTTATTTACAAAAGCAGTAAATAAAGAGAGCTGGAGTTGACCCCCTGGCCATCGTTGACCAACCCTTGACGTAACTTTGAAAAGCCACCTCCCAAACGTGGACTGTTCGCCCCCCATCTATAGGCAGTTTCTTTGTTTAGAAAAACCTAAGCCTTCATCACACATTTATGAAGAGTTGGCTAAATGTCAGGCACCGTGCCAAGTGTTTCAGGAGGTAAAGGTCTGGCCCCGCCTTCAAGGAGGTGGAGCAGGGCTTGGGGAAGTGCACTCAGAGACCCACGGCAAGGTTTCCTGCCTGCAAGAGAGAAGTGAAGGAGGAATGTGCCAGACACAGAGTCAAGGCTCATGCCTGCTCAGGATGAGGCCCAAGGGGCTCGTGATTGAGTCCTAGAAGATGAGCCCATGGTTGCCAGGAAACACTAAAGGGAGCAAGCATCTTGAGTCATGAACACAACATGAGCAAAGGCATGCAGGCAACCCGTGCCAACCAGATGGCTGGAAGAAGGCCCTGCCTGCACCATTGCAACCGCTTCTTCCTGGGTTTCCTGGCCATCAGTTTTGCCTGGCTTCTACTGTCCACATGGCATGCACCCCTTGGAATCTGATCCTGTCATCTCTTACTCGCAAATACTCCCATGGGACTGAATGGAATCCACATTTCTTATTCGGGCACTTTGCACTCCACTTCCATAACTGGATGTGCTTGCTGATCCAAGCCCCTGTCACTATCCACACTGATGGCCCACACTGCCGTGATACCCCTTCCTTAGACAAGCGTATAGAATCCTCAAAGAATGAAAAGCCAGACTCAAACTGAAAAATAAAAAAGCCATTTTTACAAGGGGATAAGTCACAACAACTCAATGGAAGTAACAAGAAAGAGAATATTTCCTTGGGCAGTTTGCTCCATATACAGACATGGGTCACAGCTCTTACAAACCTAACCCTATCCACCGCCATTGCCCTTGATGAGTTCTTGGCAGTCCTGGCAGGTGCCTGTCAGTGGAAGACACTTGCATCAGAAGGCATGGAATTGTCAAGTATAGCATTTAGATCACTGGCCTTGCTAGCTGGCTAGCTAATATGGATTATTAGGGAGGGAGACATGGGGGAAATCTTAAAAAATAAGTGCTGGGAGCCAATCCACAGTGTAGGAGTCTCTTGCATCTTTTAAATGAAGTCTTGCTCAAAAATTCACTTTGGAGTCAGGAGTAGAGGTTAAGGACAGAGGGGGAAGCAAGGAAGAGGAATGAACAAGGAAAGCAAAATAGATAGTATTCTAGTTTCCTCAAACCTGTAAACTGCGTATGTGAACAGATAGAGGTCTATATAGATATGTCCTCTAGTGTTCTACACTGATCTTCTTGAGATGAACTCAGTCCTACAGAACAAATGCTTCTATCCCAAATGCCTTCCCCCAGCAGAACTTGGTAAACTCTGCAAAGCCTCAGCAAAGGTTTAGGAAGAGGAGTAACGGGGAGGACTTCTGGGTGATTGCAAACACATACAGCATGCTCTTGCTGCAGTCATGCAAAAGGCAATCAGAACTGCAATGTCCCCCCACGATCATAATGGAATTTTCCCCTTGTTCTTTTCTCTTACCCAGAAACTCTAGAAGCAGACATCAGTTCAATCCCCTACAGTTGCCCTATCAGTTTGCTTTTCCACCTTCACAAATTCTCCAGAGACACGTGCTCTATGGTGGCCCTACTGTCAATTAAACCACCTTCCAGTACTGCCTTCATGCTCTCTGATGACGCCAATCAATAACACAGAGTCCATAACAAAATAGCTTGTCTCCTTCCTTTGTTGTACAGCTGTGTGATCACCACTGGACAACCTCAAGGGAGTGCGTCAACATCGATGACATTGGACCTGGTGTAACAAGACATCCCTGCCTCCTCCTCTAATGGGAGTCCAGGCAACTCTGGACCAAGAAAAACTTCTCTGTGTGTAGGTATTGCCTGCTCAGACGGGATACCATAAGCCCTTCTAGAATTCAATTCAAAGAAGCAGAAAAAAAAAAAAAAGCTTTGTTTTGCCTTGGGGAGGAAGAGAACGGGGAAGAACAGTATAAACCTATATCCCTCTAGCATGCAACTGCCAAACTCAAGTCTGGCTCTTTGCAGTCAAAGACCAGAAACACTGTATCAGATGGGAGGCCTTCTGGGTTCACTTCAGGGGACATAACGATACCAGCCTTCACTGAGCTCTGTTTCCAAAAACAGCAAAGTCCCCACTGGAATCAGAGTAGCACCGGAAATACTCAGTGCACTGTGTAATAGAAGCCAGCCTGCCTTGACCAAGAACATATTAAACTGGCCAAGCCAATTAGGGAGGAATCTGTAAGTTGATTGTCAACTAACTCTTTACAAAACCCACTGTAAAGAACTCCCTCCAGAAATGCTGATTTGGAAGCACAAAGACCAGAAACGCTCACAGGTACCTCCACCCATCTCTGGTGCTGGTGTTTCCCTCCCCTCAGTTCAGCAGCTAAGACTCTTGCAAAATATCCACCAGCTCTGTGCTGCTTAATGCTGGAGACAATTAAAATCACAGTGATTACCTGGGCTTAGGTTAAACTAACACGGAGGAGGGGAGTTAAACTAAACAAGATGGCATCCTGCAAGGACATTCCAAGACAATATGCTTAAAAACTAGAAACAGTATAACAGAACAGACTGGAAAGTCAGATGGATGGAGAGAGATCTTGATGGAATACAGTATCTCATTTCACACTCCTTTATTTAATTTTCTCAATGAAAATGTCTACCCTTCCATGTGCACACATATAACCCCAGACCCTTGACATTTTCCAGGCTTTTCCTCCCTGCCCAAGTCCTGTGCTAATGACTAATATTTTGGCTCATATGCTAGAGATCAACTCTGCCTCCTTCCCAGCTATTCCAAAACCATTTTTACTTCTTCAGCATATTATGTGTTCCATTCTTCACCTTTCAGGATCTCGAGGAAGACCATCCCCACTCTAATCCCCCATCAGCTCACCCAGGCAGAACTGGGTACCATAAGCATTTCTGTACTGTAATCCCATTGTGCCTCACACATGTCATTATGTTTATTTGACTTGCTACCTGGATGGTAAGCCTCTCGAAAGCAGGACCCAGATTTGACTCTCTTTGGGGTCTTCACCATCATTTAAAAGCTTTTGTTTCATATATATGAACTTATTTCACCAGCTGTGACAAAGAGGAAAGAAGACAAAATATGTAAGTTGAAAGCATTCCACTTAGTGATGGGTGAAGAGAGATGGAGAAATCAAATGTGAATACCTCAACATTGCAATTCTCCTTGCTAGAATTTGCACAAAACCCTTGGAAGGAAGTTCTAATAAATATAGTGAGGAGAGAACGATTTAAATGAAAGTTATTCAAACTGTATTATTCATTTATTTATCTGAAATAGAGAAAGGGCGAGAGAGATTTTCTCTCTGCTGGTTTACTCTCCAGGTGGCTACAATATCCAGGGCTGTGGGATTAGGCCAGAGGCAGGAGCCAGGAACTCCAATGGAATCTCCTCCATGAATGGCAGAAACTTAAGCACTTGAACCATCACTTGCTGTGTCTCGGGAGCAGAGTAGACAGAACTCAAGCCAGCAATCTATCGGATATGGGCATCACAAGCAATGCCTACATAGACTTTGACACAACGTCCATCTCAACTTTGTGTTGTCTTACTTTAACTTCCTGTAGTTCAGTAACAGCAACACAGTTTGCTTAAAGGGACTGAAAACTGGGAGTTTAAGTATTCACCCCCTTCCTTCCTTCCTCTCCCCTTGCTGCCCTGACCCCTTTGGAACAAGGGAATAGCTGAGAGACGCATGGGTGTGGGTTTGTCTTCTCAGGGGGGGCGGGGTGGTTCCTAAAAAGAGTCAGCTAGAAACAGCCTGTTAACATAAACACTCATGTGAAAGCACAGCAGGGGAAGGTCATCACTGTTTATTTCACCAGCTTGTATTTCAAGGCTGTGCCCAGTGATCCCTTTCTCCTATGAGCAGAGGGAAACCAACTGCACTTGACACCAGGGCCTCTCGTGTGGAGAAGAATCCCAAGTGTTGATTGCTCATGCAAATAAAAGAGGCAATGAGAAGGGCATTCAGACAGGTTCCCAGTGTGGGTCTGTGTTGCCTGAGAAAATAGCAGCAGGCTTCAAAGAAACTTGAGTTTCGTGGTCCATCCGTCACAAGCACTTATTGACTACATTCCATAGAGTGGACCACACTCACGACTAGAGACAAAGATGAGTTGTGCTGTAGCTTAAACATGTTCCCCTTAAATACATGTGTTGGAAATTTAATCCCCAAAGCAACAGTGTTGAGAGGTGAGACCTACAAGAGCTAACAGATTAATGTGGCTTTCATAGCTGCAGGGTACTTAGCATGAGAATGAGCTTGTTATCAAGGCCAGGCCGCCCCACTCTATGACCATCTTGCGCTTTCATCAGGGTTTGGTGCAACGTGAAGGCCCTCATCAGAAGCTAGTGCCATGCTCCTGAACCTCCTGGTCCTCATAAGTGCGAGCCAAATAAAT